GAAAGATGCAATTTAAAGGGATGTGTGTTAGAAGAATGTTTGGATGATGACCCCTTCACTTTCAAGAAAATGGTGAACCTTTATCATTTGTCAGATTTATGGGAAGTGGGTGCTGCACATCGGTACCTGGGACAACGTTGGGCTGAAGAATGATTTGGTGTCAGTAAATGGTTCCTGGGTGGAGCTGTCGGCTTCTTCGGACAGTGGAGTGATCACTATCTATTGGGCTGACCGCCTGTGAGAAAAGCTTTGTCTATAACGGAAAATTCCATGACTTGTGACTGCACACACACATGTTCATTTTTAACCCTGTATTCAACCTGCAGAAATGAAAAGTGTCTACAAGGGACAGCCAATGCTACTATCACTGGGATGACCAGCCACTTCACCAGTATGTCAGAAAATTAGCAATGTGTGTGTGTGTATATAGTATCCTCAAAGAAATTCTTTCACCAAAACTTTATAACCATTTCCTGTGGTGCTGCTTATTTCACAGTGAACATCAACGGTCACACTTCATATCATGATGGGAAGTATTATGAGACTTGTGCTGACTGTCTCTTGTCTGAAGACACAACCCTGCTTCCTGACGGCAAATCCAAGGGAAGATATTTCTTTCTCTTCAGTAAGTTTTTTTTCTCCTATTATTTTCTTCATCAATGTGAACTTGATGTTTGTTTCAATAATTGTTTTATTGAAATGACAAGACACAGAAGTATCCACTTATACTACTCTTTGTAAACTCAAGAACGTATTCTACCGATGATGATTCATGAATGAGGAGGGGGAAGAGGAGCAGCATTTTGGCTTATAAGACCTCTGCTCTGTGCAGTTACCATACACGAGGAATCAAATGAACAATATATTTAGGTCCATTTGGTCTGTAAGCTCATTTTTAAAAAGAGAAATTTGTGTAAATACAACTACTGCAGGATTGGCTAAAAAGAAAAGGAAGCCGTTTATGTTGTCAAGCACTTGCAGTGATGAGTATGACTTGAGCATGTTTTGGCTTGATGAGGTTGTTTTTTGTTTTGTTTTTTGTTCTTACTGGCAGTACTTGCTTACCATAAACAATTGTGCAAAACATTTAGAATTCTCATATAACATTTAATACATCAATTTCTAAAGACCTCTTCCTTGTCAACCTCTTTTTTCTGTTTTTGTTTGTTTGTTTTTTACAGCAAGGGATGGCTCTCTGGAGCCTTCTGAATTTGAGACTTTTAAGAAGCAGGCCAAGTGTCTCAACTTCCTGCCAGAGTACCACTTCATGGGCAAAAGTCAGTCGGTCGCCAGCTCTGCAACTACCTGCCCGTCAGTAAACGATTATTCTTTATTATTTTTTCTTTCTGTTTCAGATCTGTGTCCAGATGACAGGGAGACTGTGCCCACTGCTACTGAGGACACAAAGGAGGATGATACTGCTGCTCAGCCCACTGCAGTGTGAACAGCATCCAAACACAATGTCCATTGAAGTGCTGAAGCATTCATCTCTGCGCTGATGTAGCTTTGTTTAGAGGGATAAACATTTTTAAATGGTTTTTAACTCAAATGTTGCAGTAGCGCAATTCACAGCCTTTCACTGAGGTAAAATTAAATTTGTTAAATTCTTTCCTCCACTGCATAAACAAAATCACTCTCCATGGTTTCATTGTGTATTGTCTTGAATTAATTTATTTCTGCACTTTTTTTTTATTATTTAAAATCACAGCACCAACAAAACCCAGATTCAGTTGTCAGATCTTGCAAAGTCCATGCCCAGTAATTCTAAGCTTCAGTCTAGCTTTTTTAGTTTCTAGAGACATAAACAAAAGTTGTTGCTGGGTAATGTTCCTGCATGGGAGAGAATGAAATTGTCAGAGTTTTCAAATGGCCCATAAAAGAAGCCCAAGCAAATGTCCTAAGAAACAACCTTTGTCCTGCTAATGAAAAGCAGCTTTGGCTCCAGGTCCAGTCATGGCACACTGCTCGGGGCCCATTCAGGGGCAAATGCATGGGCAACAGAAGGCTGTTGAAGTGAGCATTCAGTCTTGGACAAAGCCCTGCAGGAGAATCTTAACTGAAGGGAAGAAGAATCAGAGTTAGGATATTTATGCTCCACTTCAGTACTGTCTTCTGCAGTGTTGCTGTTCCACACAGTTCTTTTTCCTCTCTGTCCAAACATGGCTGTTGCTCTTGCTCTTTTTCTTTTGGCTCTCACTTCCGTCTGCATTGCATCTGCACCTGACTGCAAGGATTTGGTCAAACCTTTCACACCGGACGACCCCAAACTGGTAAGTTGTTCCTAAATTTGATTAATTATGATCAAATACTAAATACTACTGAGCTATAAAACAGTACCGTAGACCGAGGCAGTTGTTGATCGTATAGTAAAGATCGTTCATTTTGACTGCCAAGGTCTTTGGGAAATGGGTGTACGTGATGGGAGCTGGTGATCCTAAACAGTACCACAAGGCACTGGAGTCTCTGAAAAGCTCCTGGGTAAATGTAGCTCCTACATCTGACAATCAAAGTGTGACGTTACGATGGGGAGACAACTGCTAGTAAGTTCTATTAATGACTGTATATGGAATAAAGCAGACATTTGTCATTTCCAATCAATTAAACTTGTTTCCAGCAACCGGTGCATCTATGGGGAGGTAAACGCTACAGTCTCAGGAACTGTCACCACATTTCGCAGTAAGTGAATGTCAGGTCACTGGTGTAAAGATTTGTCTTGTGGGTGTCATAAAACGATCAATCACTGATTCCTTTAAGAAAACCTATCAGAGCATAAAGGATACATTGTACAAACTTGCTCTGACTGCCTGCTATGGACAGACACCTTCAGAAATGGAGACATCACCGGCAGATACATCATGCAGTTCAGTAAGTTCTGTATTTGAGAAAAAGTTGTGGTTTATTTTTTAATCGAATTCATTTTTCATTTCTCCACCTCTTTCAGCAAGGACAGGAGACATTGATCCCAAAAGTGTCAGGATTTTTAAGAAGCAGCTGGGATGTCTTAACTTCCCAAGGAATTTCCATAGCTATGGTGGAGAAACAGGTCAGTAAGCCACTAGTCCAAATTAAACAAAGAAATGTGTTGATTTTACTAAAGTGTCCACAAGGTGGAGATATTGTATTTATTGCTTTTATTCGCTGTGACGCTTTTCATTTTGAATGTTTTTTTATGTTTCAGAGCTGTGCCCAGAATTCAGAGGGGAAACATCAGAGTGAGAAACTATGAAAATAAAGACCATCAGCATGTTAATGTCTCATTGAAAAATATATACTGTCATAAATTTGTTTTATTTTAGTGCTATGATATTTACACATTAAAGAAAATGTATACATGTGATAAATGAACTCAATAGGACAAGTAAGGGTTATTCTTTTATAGTATGACATTAATATTTCTTAAAGTAAAACCAATAATGGACAAGAAAGAATGATGTGATCTGTTATGTGGAGAATAACTTATGTACAAAATAAAAAAACAGTAGTGAAAACATTTGAAGTTTTATGAAATAATTTGGTTTCTCTATGTAAAATAAAAACTATAGTGCTGCTGCCTATAAAATGTATATCAAGAAATATTCATAAAAAAAACTCCACAGCTGGTAAAATTTCTTTAAATATAGACAGTTTTAAATGCTAACTAGTAATTTTTTGCTCGAACGATGATACATCAAATCAGGGGTGTACGTGGCTCCTCAGGCCACCAGCCGGCTGTACTGGGTATTTGGCCCAACATCCATCTTACATAACTCGCTGCTGTCTGTTCGCCCACTGGTCCTCGTGCTTTGCGTCCCTGAGCTGCTGTCCCCCCGAACCAGTTGTTTGCACCTCAGCAGTGCCAAAATCTGCCTCTGACACTGAGAGGAGCCAAAGTAATAGAGGACAGGGTCCAGGCAGCAGCTGAGGCTGCCCAGACACATGGACAGAAGGTAGGCCTGGTAGCTGCTGTCCCCAGAGCTGTGGGACAGCTGGACATAGTGCACCATCAGAATAATATTGGTCGGAGTGAAGCAAACCACAAACACCACTAGCACCACTGCAACCATGACCACAGCCCTGGACTTTTTGGAGCGATTCTCCACATTAGCTGCTGCTAATGCCTGGATGATGCGGATGTAACAGACAACGGTGAAGATGAGCGGGATGAAGAAGAAGATGGATGAGTAGATGGGAAAGAAATAAAGATAGTAGGCCTGAAGTTTCTCCACATCCTGCACATCATGGCAGGTGGTGATGCCCAGGTCTGACAGGTGGATGGTTTGACCCGATGTAAGCAGAGGAGCGACTCCCCCGAGGGCCAGCAGCCACATGGTTGCACAAATGGCAGAGGCTGTTTGAGGGGTGCGCCACATAAGTGAGTTCATGGGATAAACCACAGCCAGGAAGCGGTCGATGCTGATGCACATTATGAGCAGGACAGAGCAGTACATGTTACAGTAGAAAGCTGCAGTTACCAACGTGCACATGAAGGAGCCGTAGATCCAGTTGTTGCCGTGGTAATGGTAGGCAATCTTGAAGGGAAGGAGCAGACCAAAGATCAGATCGGCGCAGGCCAGGTTCAACATGTAGATCACTGCTGGTTTCCTGGGATGAATGTGATGCACAAACATCACCATGGTTATGAGGTTGAGGGGGACACTGATGATGAAGACAAGGGTGTAAATGGTTGGCACAAAGCTGGTTGACAGATGACCCTCTAAGAAGCCCTTAGCCTCCTCTGAGACAATGTAGTGTCGATGTGGACGACTTTGATGACTACTGTGGTGTCTGTGTCTTCTTTCGACTGGCTCCTTATGTGAGTCAGAGCCAGACCCTTCATCATCACTGTCCACCACCGAAAGGTCAATATAGTCCACAAGGTCATCTGGGACCTTTACGTAGGCTGAGAACGTCTTGGGTACAAGCTGTGAGCCTACAGAATTATTAAAGGTTTGTCAGACAGGCATAGAGATGCAAAATTATCAAATAACTTATCCTGGACTGCTTTGTCAAACCAAAGTACATTTTATATATATTTTTATATAGACCAGCGTGTATATATATATATATATATATATATATATATATATAGGTCTATCTTGGGGGAGCAATACTTTACAGCAGGGGTCACCAACTTTTATTGAAACTGAGAGCTACTTCAAGGGTACTCAGTAATACAGAGAGCTAGTTGTTTGATACAGACTTCTAGAACAATGTAATAATAATCAGTTCTGGGACATACAACAGTAGACACTCTTCTTACCATCGTTGTTGGACCTTTTTGAATATCATTGTAAGTTTAACTGATTCAAAAAGCACAGTCACAGTACAAGTTTTCACCCTATTGTTGACTAGTTTTATATTCAGAACGTACCCCATGGGCACCTGAGGTAGTCCACGGTGGCTACCAGGTGCCTCTGGACACCATGTTGGTGACCCTGCTTTACAGCATCCATAAAACACAGCTAATGAAAAAAGAAATTGAAATATTTTTACAGATTAAGACCCACTTAATCACTACCCATGTTTAAAGTTGACAATTTGAAAAAAAATGAAAGAAAAAAAAAACTTACCATTCTGCCGGCTGAAAACTGAGCTGCTGTGAGAAATCAGCAGCAACAATTTTAAGAACATGTGAATCATTACTCTGCTATATTTCCTCTGAATACGAGTTAAGTTTTTCTGTTGGACAGCTCCACCGCTTCACTGTTTTACAGTCAGTCTAAGCCCGTTATTACACTTCAGTGTGGACATGTCTCCTCCTTACTGCAAACAACTCCGCCTCTAATGCAGACAAATAATGTCATTGGTTATTAGTCATGATTGAAATGTCATATATGGAAATAAAACAGGATAATTCTAACAATGAGAGATTTTCATTCATCATTGGCTATTTTCAATGATAAAAAAGTTACCCCTAAGAATGGTAAAAAAGGAAGTTTGATGTATATGTCACATGTAAAATATTTTATTCAGTAAAACAGTTTTTTCTTAAAGATTTGAATATAATAGCACAGCGTCATCTAAACATCCATCAAGACCTTACAGTTTTTTGAAATATTCGATGAAACAATAACTGAAGCAGTGTTTCCTGGCATCAAAAACATTAATACATTACTATTTCATTCTTAAAATTACTTTACATTTACAATGAATTAACCCGACATTATCTGAAACAAACACGATCCTCGACCATCTGGTGGTTTTTGTACTCTAAATACAGAGAGGCACTGATATTTTCTTTTTTTTTGGCCTTTACTGTTGTCATTTTCCGTAAAATTTCTTGTTAAGAAGAAAGATTAACAAATTGACATTGACTTTAGCTTTGTCGAACATTTTCATCACAGCCACACCGTCGTACTGGAGTTGAAGAAGGTCCTGAAAACAGAGCACAAATAACATAATTAATTACATTATGTCAAATTGAAAGTGTATACTCTTCACAAAACCTGTGTTTAAGCTGGAAAATATTTGTCTTTTTAACAATGTTTCCTGTTTAAAAGTCCAAGGCAGGAAATCCAGCAGATGTTTTTTCATGGACATTTTTTGGAACATTTACCTGGAAATGAAGCTGCACTTTTTCCATCTCAACTCCCATAAATTTTGCTTTCACTTCAAAATCACCAACTTCCTCAGTGGGTGAAATGTCAAACATGACATTTTTTAACCTGAGATATGGAACACAATAATGTGAGATCAAAGCACTACCATAGAGAAAAGCATAATAGCTATTCATGTTTAATGTTAAGGCAGGGACTTAAATAAAAAAATTAAATCCAGAAATGCATTTTGTTTGGAGGGGGGGCAGCATCTTATCCATTACTCCTCACTGTTTCCACCGTTGGCAGGTATTATCTTTCATATGAACAATGAGGCAATGGAGATTTTTTTCTTGTGCATGTTCAAAACCTTGTTTTTAAAATGTAAGAATTATTTCAGGATATGTGATGATTTCTTTAGTTTTAGGTGCTTCTAGTTTTCAAATCATGTTGCAGGCATTGATTTATACATTTGTCTGTGAAATAATTTAAACTCTTTCCTAGTTTCATTACACTGATTTCATTTCTGACTGCTTTCTGATTGTACCAACATTACTGAAAACAAGGATTTGAATTTCTTATTTGTTAAGCAGTGTTTGCGTAGAAACAAACACTGAAAGTAATAATGATGATAATATGAGTATATATAATAAATATAATTGGTGTCACTGACTGGTTGGTCTGAAGCCCTTCTATCTCCAGGATGACTCCCTTCTCGTGTAGCCTGGCTGCCGTGTACTTCAGGGACTGTGGTTTCCACTTTTTACTTCCTTTCTCTTCTCCTTTGTTGTCAGGTTTTATAGATCTGCGTGAGTTCCTGTGGACAAAATCCACAAAGTGATGAAAAAGTCCAAATACAATATTAATAAAATGAAAATAGGCCAGGTAGCCCTTACTTCCTGTTCAGATTATCCAGGCAGGTCTTGATGTAGGTGTCATAGTAATTCATCTGTTCCTGGTAAAAAGAGGTTTTTGCATTCAGAGCAGTCAGTGTCAGCTGCAGCTTGACCAGCTCGGCCTTCCTCCTCTGTCTGTAGCGTCTTTGGTATCGAATGTCCTGTCAATCAGAGTGTTTTTATTGCATTGTGTCTATGAGTTTTAGTTGGTTTTATTTTTCACTTTTTGAATGCTTGGCTGACAGTGAACCTTTGATATATCGTTGATGATGTCCTGGTATTTGTTACTGGCAGCAGCCAGGCCGGCCTGCTCCAGGTTCCGCAGGTTCCTGAGGATTTTTCTCTTTTTCTGCTCCAGAGGCAGCTGACTGTCCTCTAGGACTGCAGGACTGCTCTTCAGACCCTCTGGGGTCTGAGCGTCCTGCACTGCACGGCGCTCCACAACCAATTTGTGCTCCAACTCCTTCAGTGGATGAGTTGTATTAGAAGACAGAATCACAAGGAAAAAAAGATGATTTCTATATAACATTGTTCAGTGTTTTTTTTTTTTTTGTCTGATTACTTGTGGTGCTGTAACTGGAGTCTCGAGGATTTCAGGCAAATTCTCTCCAGGCTGAATCCGAATCACGTCCACAATTAGCTTTTTGGTCCTTAAACAAACAGGAGTAAACCAATCAGTGATTTATTTAGATCTTAACAAATAAATACCAACTAAACACAATACCATTAAAATTATACCATATAACCTAATTCAAAATGTCTTTATTGCGTGACACTTGATTATTTGCAGGAATTACAGAAGTGGGGAAAATTTTGTTATAACATTTAAAACGGAAAACATGCTAAAAGAGAAAGTACATAAAAATTAAAAATTAAAAAAATCAATTGATTGGACAATCCTAAAAGGCTAGTATTTCTTATGAAATAAACATACAGCCAAAGTTTGTTCTGTTGTGTCTTTCAGGGAAAAAAAAACACCTCTGTAACAGTTTCTTTTAAGAGTTTGATGCAGATACATGCGGATACATGTTTGTGGGGTGATAAGGCTGAAGCCACCAACCTACTTCCTTTTTTGGACAGAGCAGGAAAGATAACAAAGACAGGCAACAGAATGACAGCCATAAAAAACACAAACTCACTTTGTCATGAGAGCCTTCACGTCTTTGTCGTCTCCATCCAGCAGCTCAAACTTACTGGTGAGAGTGAGAGAGATTTCTGTCTTGGCCTGCTCCTTCAGAGTTCCCTCTCTGTTCGGGTCATTGTGGTCAACTGCTCCCTCGCCTGAAGGGAAACAGGACATACACCTTGTAAATAGACAGACACACTACAGTTGAACTGTGCTACAAAAAGTCAATAAAAGTCTGATGTTACCAAGCAGAGACTCAACATCAGGTACATCTCCTAAGTCCTGCAGCAGCTCATGGAGCAGGTCATTATGGTCTGGAGAGATGGCCTCCAGATGTTCCAACAACAACTAGACAGAAGCATTAAAACACTGAAATGAATATTATTAGGCTTTTTAATTAAAAAAAACTTGACTCACGAAGCACACAGTACATGTCTGTCAATCATTTAAAATTATGAAACAACATGAAGGCTGTTTTCTTTCCCATTAACTCCTATAGTCACTAGTGATAACTTGCAATAAAAACTGTTTAAAATCTGTTTTAAAAACTTGTTTTGCTTGAATTTACCGAGTGAGTATTGATGACCTCCTCTATCGAGATGTAGATGATGGGTTTGCTCAAGGTGACCATGTCTGAGTATTCATCAATATTAAACTTCTCCTCTGGTTCAGGAACATCACAGGCCAACTGAAAAAATACCCTAGAAGAAAGGATTATGTGGTTGTGAAAGAGAGGCAGATAATTGACCTGAGAGCTGATGAGAGTCACAGAATCTGACGTGCCGCACATACGCAGCCATCATTTATTCATTTGCATCGACACAAAGAAAGGCCTCTCATTAACAGATTGACTTGTGGTCTTTCACAAAGCTAAGTTAAGAAGTTGCATGTTGTCACTGTGTGTGGGGGGGGGAGGATTTCTCTTGGTACTCTGGTTTCTTCCCACAGTTCAAAAACATGATGGCAATTGGGTTAATTGTTTCCTCAGAATTGCCCATAAAAATGAGTGTGAATTATTGTTTGGATCTATGTGATGGAAATAAATAAAGACAAAGCACTTAAAACTATATAACTTAGACTGTATAACATTTTCTTCTTACCTAAATTTCTCATATGTCTGTGATATGTAGTCGTTCATCTGCGTCATATGTGCATTCTCTCCCTCAAACAACTTGTTGGAAGCCGCGTGCTGGAGCATCTTTGCCACAGACCCCAGGTTACGACGTTGCTCTTGGTGGAGCTGCCCTCCCGCCGACATGTCGATGATGTCAAAGCCATCAGGCGCCACAATGGCTGGGTTCATGAAGCGATAGTACAGCAGGTTTCCTACAATCTAAAAAAAAAAGGGTTTTTTTTTTTCTCATAGACTGCAGGTTAGTAACAAAGTCTCAACCTAAGATGTAACCTACGCATTTAGTGTCACAATGGGATAATTCCTGTTAAAATAAAAGTAAAATCATAAAATATCTTGACAGCTAATACCTTCAACAGCTCATCTTCTGAAGCATCTGGAAACTTTTCATGTAGGCTGTTCTTCAGAACCTTTGCTATGTACCTCATGCCATAACTACATGCAAAATGAAAACAAATGAGGGGACACGAAACATCAACAGCATGCTACAACAAATAATGTGACAAATAATGGAATAAGCCAAAGGTCTGACCTCACCATATATTTTAGCTTAGTGATACATGTTTTGATCTTGAGTGACATCACTAGTGGTGCAGAAAAGCTTAGCTGTGTCTTTGTGTTGAACAGACAAATACATATCTTATATTGATAATTTGAAAATGACACTCCCAAACACAATGTGATGTACTCTACTGTAATGTGTTTGTGCACTGTTAATGTTAGTCATGCTGCTCTTACAATATTGTTGTAATTTAACTTGTAAATATAGATTGAAAATAGTTTGGAAACCAAGAGGTGTGAATTATGTGCAACAGTTTGCTAACAGATCTGCTACAAAAGCCTGCATTACCTCAGTCGCAAAGACTAAACACACATTTAAACTGCTCTAAATAAGTAGTATTGTCCTTTATGTTGTGTATTACTGTATGTCCTTTTAAGTGTGATGTGCAATTTTCTCCATCACAGAAACTGAAAACATCTCTATAATGTGAGCGTGTACAACCTTGCTCATTCTTATTTTTTGACAAAACCTGGTTAAAATCTGAAGTCAAATGGAATCATGCAGGACATTGCTCAAACATTGCTCCAAACAGAAAACAATCTGCCAGTTGACATTTACCAGATCCCAAAACTTACGGGATATTATCCAGTGAGGAAACAATGGAATTTAGGACTTTATCTGTAGCAGAACGCAGAGCCCGACTGGACGTCTCTAGCCTGTCACGTACTTCCTCATGTGACATGGCCTGTTGGGGTGTCACTTCGTAAGGCAGCTTGCTGTTAAACAACCATAAAAAGAAATAAATTCACGCATTCACCTACAGGATCATCTTGCAAAACCTTGTGGTGTGTCTCCTACACAGACCTGGCTTCTCCAGTAGCTGTCTCCAGCTGGTTCACCCAGGCCTTGTACACATCAACAGGGTTGGTGTTGATACCTAAGTCCTTGTCCTCAATGATGTCCTTGACCACAGGGGCCAGGAGCTGCCTGAGCGTGTTGTGGCCCCGTGCACCTCTGTTGAAGCTCACCACCATCTTGATAACAGTTGGGTTTCCTGTTACTATGTCCTGGATCTGGGCTACCTTAGAACTGAAGGGGCAGATTTAATGAGGTGTGACAACTCAAGGACACTGATAGTTACTAATGTCCAAAAGTTACAGTTTGTTATCAGAGTTTGTGATTTTTAGAGTGATGGTCTGATAAGCCCTGACTTCTCTATAGTCACGCTCTGCTAACAAGCATTGAAAAAATACACTCCTTACTTGATTTCCTCCTCCAGAGAAGTCTTGAATAGTTTGAGGAGTAGATATTCCTCCCTCTGGTTGGAGGCATAGTTGTACAAAGTAAAGATAACAGTGTCCATAAACTTGGTTGACTTGTTTTGGGGCATCTGAAAGATCAGCTTGGCGAGATATGACGGGTTTGTCTACATAGACAGGAAGGGAAGTCAGCTCAGTCACCCTTTGTGTATCAAACTTTAGTAAAAAAAACGTAAATCATTCCAACTGATGTCAGCTATAAATCTAAGAGTTGAGTTATTTTGTAATACCTGTAGAAGGTAAAAGAGATGTTGGTAGGCCTCCAGTTTCCGCCTTTGTCCTCTACTTAGACCCTTGATGCCCAGTCTCTCTGCAGCAGTTTGACCATGTTTACTTGTTTTACTTTTCTTGTTCTTCATTTTCTTACTATGGAAGACAACATCCTTATAGAAGGAAAAAGAAAAGAAAAAGAAAACAATTAAAACTAGACTGGATAAATATGTAAAAATAAAATAAGAATAAATTCAATTTTTCTTCTATGTTCACACAGCAAAACAGAGTAACTGACCTGCAGTGTGATCCTGTTTTTTACCAGGAGTCCAATCTTAATGTCCATCAGGTTCAGGTCTTTCTCCATCTGCTGATTGGAGCGAATCTTGGTGACCACTTCCTCCCTTAGGCGTGTCACTTCCTGCTCTTCCTGCAGATCCAGAGGACTTTGCTCTAGCAGGTGGACAAACTTACGAACCACTGACAGAGGAGGATCTTTGGCCCCGGCTAAATTAAGCACATGCAAAAATTATCTTAAAAAACTTTTTTTTTTCTGCACAAATTAATTCATACATTCCTTTAAATGTGCATGTTTTATGTGGGTTAACAAAACAATAGTTCACAATATTGTTATCGTTAAGTGAAGTGTTTCACAGTTAAAACATAATTAATTATTAAACAAACTGCTATATAAATATACGTAGGACTGCAGACATTCTGCAGTCTAACGTAAACATTAGAGTTGTTTTTCCCCACTCACTTAGTGTTCTGTAATCATCTCTGGCTTTGTTTGCTTTAAGAAAAGCCTGGATCTTAACTATTTCCTTTTCCTAAAAACAAAAACAAAAAATAAAACGAAAACAACAATTAATAAAAAAATATGAAAATAAAATATCCTGACTTAAACCATACTCACATGGTCTTTAAAGAACTGCAGCCTCTGGTTGTAGCTGCGCTTAACTTTCCACATCTTCACCACAGACTGGAGCTAAGTTAAGAGATTTTTTTAATGACAGACATTTGATTATTAAGATATATTTATGTTGTAGCTCTTAAATAAAGCCAACTTAAAAGAAAGTGATTAATAATTTTTACCTTTACAACAGAAGCAACATTTCTCTGCAGCAAATTAATTCTGTCTCTGTACAGTCTTCTCTGTTTGCAACCCTTCCAGCAGGCCTGCAGTGTGAGAGTTGTAAATGGAACAAAGAATAATTAATATCAGTTAAATCAAACCATTCATCTTTTTCCCTCAGGCCTTTTTTTTGCCAGCACATTAAAATCTTAATAACCTTTTAAAAATATTTTTATTGGTACAACTCCACAACTACTGCACCTGTAATTTGACCACATGTGGCTCTTGTTGCTGTAGATACTCCATTCTCTTTGTGTGTTTTTTCCTGACCAAGTAACCTCTGACATTGGCCTGCAGCAGCGTCACAAAAGATTCGTTGGCCAACCATAACTGTTCCCTGTTATAATCTGCAGTCAAACGGGTCAGAACGGCCTGTGGAGAAAATATATATATATAAATATATATATAAATATATATATTTAATCTTGAAGATTATGAACTACTCTGAAAGTGTTTTGCTCTACACATTTTCACAGACTACATAATTTAAGCAGATATAAAGTATTTAATTTGAATAAGTGAATTTGTGGTTCCACACCTGGATTTCCTCTTTACTTAGTTGACCATCATTGTGCTGAAATCCAGCAGGTTCCTCCCAGCAGCCTTTTCCAGTCTCCAGGTTATAATAAAAGTCATATCTGTCCTTGACACTGTGTTTTACCCAAACACTATCTGTAATTCCTGAAGAAAGAACGGCAAATCATTTTTTAAACCCACTGGGTGCTATGCCACCTCTGAAAAATAGCTTCTACTGTGTCATAGCATCTATTCTGATGTTGCATGATTTCAATTACCAATTCAATTACCTTTAGCAGCACCTTGGGCTTGTCTCTGTTGTAGTTCTACCTGGTATGTGTCAGCACATTCAGGCAGCACTGCTCTCAGTCCTGCACTGGGGGCTTGTAAAGCTTCCAGTGTAGTCTGAGAGCCTCCATCTGTGACACTCTTATTAATATCAGCAACTGCTGTAGCCACTGGTGGGAAAAAAACGTAATTTGATCAGAGAGGAGTTCTGCTGAACATCAAAATAAACAAATACAATGAAAAACCAAAAAATTATCCAAAGATAACATAAGTGGCAATAATTTTGAACTTGAACTTGCAGAAATTGGGTGACAGAAAGGTGCCTATGAAATAAAATGTATTATTATTATTATTAAATATATAATACAAATGAATCAGCTTTATTACTTTATTTATGGCCACGATTAATCTTTTTTTCTATTTAGATAATGTGAAATAAGTTCAGTGCCTACATGAGAGAGCGTCTTCTTCATTCTGATTGGCTGTCAGTATGGCATCTTGAATCTGGTCCAACCATAAAACTGCAGACTCATCTCCAGAGTTCTGCAGTCAGATGAGAGAAAAAGTACAATGTCATGACAGAGACACTAAATCATACTCAACAGACATGAAATACATCAACATAAAATAATCATATAGAAAAATTATAATTATTTTTAAGAAATTAAGAAATCACTGAAATGGTTATTTAAAAATCATCCATGTATTAATTCATTATGTTAGTATAGTGGTTTAGGCAGCTTTTAGTTTTTGTCACAAAAACAGATAAGTGAACAACACAACACATGGTGGTGCTGTTAACACAACAATTAATGGTGGGCAGTACCATTTCCCCTGTCTCCTGAGATGGGAGCTAGGAACAGAACAAAACAGAATAACAATTGTTACACAAGGAACAGTTACCGTATCCTAAAAAGCCACTTTAGTTAAACAGATTCCAACAACATGCCAACAAAACAAGCACACTGCATGTTTGTTTATTCAGCACGAGTTTTGTTCTTGGACTAATTTTAGACAACTCTGTTGGGGACAGAGGCCACAGGCCAACCAGATGGAAATGGTTGTTAAATTTGATGGAGCAGAATCGAAAACAACTTAGCCATTAATTCCCAGCCAAAAAAACCCCCAAAAATCTTATTTTATAACCAAAGTCAATTTCATGAGAATCTTAAAACAAAATGGAAAAGTGTTTTTAATCCTTAAACCAGGATCTTGTTACATAAAAAATGAAATAACCTGCTCTATATTTAAACAATGAATATTTATTATATCTCGATATTCAACACTACTGTATACGGTACTGTACAAAAGCTCTAGGTGGGTTTATTCATTTACTATATCACCCCTTCTTCACCTCCTTATTTTTTTTATGTATTGAAAGTAAATGTTTTTTCTGCCAGCTTGTGGGCAATTTAATTTTATATTTCCAATGTGGCAGCTGTCATGGATGACACCCACTGCTGTTAGGTAACAATGCATGTCTTGGATTTGTGGTTTAACAGGTCCTGCAGGAAGACACGTGACCATGAGGGGACGTGTGGCTCCATGACAGGTCTGTGTTTTCTCCTTTTTAAACATCGGCTATGTATTTGCAGTTTAGTGCTTTTTAAAATAAGCACTACTGACTTATTGTTGTTTAATATTTTTTTAAATACTTAAATGAAAAGGCATGTTGTATGCCTTTTTTTCACACACACACACACACACACGCACGCACTGCTCCACACAAACTGAAAAAACATCCCATAGTCCGAGGGCAGAGGGAAGCTGCACTTCAGAACACAAGGTCATCAGTGTTGCACTATAGAAATGCTCAACGGTAAATTTCACCAGTGGACAAGTTTATCTCTAACAGTGAAGAAGGAACACCACAAAAAAAAAAAAACAGAAACCTTTCCAATTTCTGTGTCATAGGCTGCAGAGCAACATGGCTCCTTTGTCTGGATTTATTCTGTGTATGATGGCTGCACAGACCATCGAGCACAAAGGTGAGTTTGCACAACACAAAAGTCTTAAAAAATAAATGTGATTTGATTAAGTAACCATTTGGACACCTAAAAAGTAGGCTCTGAATTTTAGTGTTAATACATTCATTAATATTTTAGCAATGGCAATGTAATCGAATTATTAGGGCAGAGATGAATATTTTCTATGAATATAGAAAAGGTGAAGTGAAAATTTCACTACAGTTCAAAGGTTCTACACCTTACCTTAACACTGTAACTGTTTTTTAAATGAATGTACCATAATTAAATAATTATAACAGAACTAAAAATGTAATTTCATGTTAAAGTCGTTATCCAGTAGTTTAACCTTGAAGCCATATTAAACAATATTTAGACTGGCTGTGAAAAAAGCCAACTTCAAACTTCAACCTTTTTTAGCTAGACACAAGAAATCCTTTGATGACTAACGTTGATAAATGATTTTAAGAAATAGGGAGAAACCTCTTTGCATAAATCCTGCAATCCTAAAACCTCCAGTAATCTGGACTGGGGGCAGGCAAGTTCAGCAAATTCTATTGACAATGTTAACCATAGAATTCATTGTATTGGAAATAAACACAATGTCTTCTCTCAAGCACATGACCAAATTTTAGCATTCTGCGATTTGTAGTAAGACATCTTCACAAAGTTAGAGCTTGTGCATGATCTGTTTGGAATTTACATTTTGCTGCAAAATTAAAGCCAAAATGGTGTCTTTCTGCCTATCTATGTACAGTAAAACCGAACCAACCGATCCAGTGACAGCATACACCACAGGGATTATCAGCACGTGGGCCATACCTTTAGCCTATATCCTGGCCATGTTGGTAGGGGTCCCCTCCAATGCCTACATCCTGGGATTCCTCAAAATCAGGCTAAAAGCCAAGTCCATGTCCACAGTAGTGCTTTTTCTGAACCTGGCCCTGTCCGACCTGCTGCTGCTGCTTTCCCTGACTCTGCAAGTTCACTATCACTACAACTGAAACAACTGGATATTTGGGGAAATGCCGTGCCGACTCATCACAGCCTTGTTTTATGGCAATGTTTAATGCTTGGCTCAAACTATAGCCTGCATTAGCTTGAAGCGCTACATTGCAGTAGCCAGACCATTTTTGTACCATAGGCTGACAAAGACTACACTGACAGTGCGCACATGCTTATTTGTATGGTGCCTGTTTGGGGCTGCTGTTGTGCCAGAGGTTCTAGTGAGGTAGAGCTACCATATTTCCCTCCTGGGAATCACCACCTGTCATGACGTTCTTCCCCTTGAAGAGAAATCTCACTCTCTGCTGATGCTCCACAGGCTAATGCTGGTTTGTCTGGGCTTCATTGTGCCCTTCCTGATTTGTATATACACCCAGGTGACCGTGGTATACCACCTGTGCCGATCCGGCTGTGACTGGAGAGCTTTCCTCAGGGTCAGCACTCTGGTCTTTGTTATCTTTGTAGTGTGCTTCTTGCCCAGTGGAATCCTACACATAACCCACTACATCCGTCTGTTTTCCAGTGGGGACGACAGACTGTAGGGATAGTACAGGATAGCTGTGTGTCTCTGCTGCTTCCACAGTTGTCTGGACCCTTTCCTGTGTTTGCTCGTTTCAAAGACGCCAGCGTCAGAACTACAATTCATTTCCCTTAGAGAAAAATCTCAGAGACCGGCAGTAATGGCATAAGAATGGAATGAATGTCGACAGGAAAAATCTGTCCTTGCTAGAGACTATTGATGGAACACAGCAGGGAACCACACGTGATGAAAGATGTAAAAGTTAAGAAATTAAACAGCAATGCTTCTGTTTCTGTCATACGCAGAAGAACAACAATGTTCATGGCATTCAGTCACTGTAAAGGGTCATGAAATAAAACTGTTACTATTTAGCACCTGGCTAAGCTCAATATTACACAATCATACAGTTATATAAAATACCACCACAAGTCACCAAATTAAATATAAATAATACACTTTTAAAAAGTGGAGCTAAATTAATATACGTATATGCTTGTGTGATATGATGGTTCACTTTTATGGTCAGAAGTTCTGTTGAGGTCCAAATGAATGAATGAGTGCATTTCTAAACTACAGCTAAAATATGATATCATTCCGGAGTGTATATCATCTTTTTAAACGCAAAGCTGATACTTGGATTGTCACGCTACCTGGCAACAAAGTTGTTTGGTGTATTGTAGAACATCATGGTAGTGTTTGGCAGTGGCTTGGTTCACTCCAGTCAGTTTGGCTGTGGGGAGGAGCAGAGCTGCAAGGGTCTGCTGATGATCGCCCGAGTTCAGAGCCTCATTAATCTCAGCAATGGCTATTATGCCTGGAGGCAGGAGGCAGGACATCAATGTCAATTTTGACATTTTTGTTTTGTAAATACTTTGAGTTACTGTATTAATCAGAAGTCTTCCTTACGTTCATGCTCTTCATGGACCTGGACGTTAACTGTGTCAATGCACTTCTGCACATCATTCCAGGTGAGAAACTCTTGGCCCTTGGCCAAAGCCTCAGAGCGCATTTTAATAAGTGTGTCAGCATACCTAAAAGAGATGCAAAAATGTTTCATGACATCATACGTTTCACAAATCATCATCATCATCTTCTTTTTTTAGTTGTTTTCTTTCAGGGGTGGTCACAGCGGATCTTCTGCCTTCACCTTTCCTAATCTCCTGCCTGCTTTTTGCTTTTCATGTCCTTTTCCACTAACCTCTTCTTTTCTTGCTATCTTTTCACAACAGTTGTCTAAACTATCTCAACCTCACATCTCTAACTTCTAAAATAAAAAAGCATCTTCATTTTTACTACTTACGTCTCAGTCTTCTGTCCCTCAGACACAGCCACTGTCTCAAAACCATTCATCATAGCAAATCTCACTACTGTCCCAACATTTCACCTATGCTGTCACAAATCACTCCTAACCTTCATCTATTCCATTTATACCTGTTGATGTTGTCCTGGTCCATGTTGGTGAAGCCTAGTGGAGAGTCAGATAGTTGTTCAATCACAGCCTGGGGGTCTTTAGTGTCCAGCACCTCATTCAGCACAGCTACAGCGGAGAGCATCTCCACAGCAACACTCAACTCCTCGTGGCTCAGACCAGACTGATGAAAATTATGGAAACAATAACAGCAAAGCTCTAGCACACTGCTCCTTTAACAGAAAGTGTGTGGTCCAACTGAGAAAATACTCACTCGTCCACCTTGTAGCTGTAAACTGAAGAGCTCAGCCTGGTAGAGGTTGGCAGCAGTTTGGTAAACAAGAGGCAGTTGTGCTACAGCATTTAACAGCTGTTCCACCGTCTCTGTTGCAACGCCACGACGGATAGCACTGTTGATCGCAACAACTGCTTCCAGTTCTGTTTCAGTACAAGACATTTTGAATATATTCTTTTATAACCAGGTAATAATGTGACAAACAAACATTTCTTTGATTTAATATTTGGTGACATGCTTCAGGTATTAGTTGAATACAGCTATATACAGTTAGATATGTAGGACGGCAGAAACTCAGCAGTTTCCTCAGATCTTTAATTAAAGAGGTCTAAAACAAACTGTAAACCAGACCAGGCCACCAAGAAAAACAAACATCAATTGTTATCATTAAATATCACTGCAAAATTATTTTAAGTGCATTCTCAGTAACATCTGTGTCTCTTTACAAAGGCAGAAAAAAGCCACAATAATGAGGGAGGCCGAACGAGCAGAAAAGAGCCTTTCACTTCTGAATTTAAGAAAGTTGCATTTCTTTACTATAACTGAAAAAATGTTCATACTTTGCTTCTCCGCCTCTGCAAAATCATTGCAGGAGGTGATAACCCTCTGAATCTCCTCTCTGTCAACAATCATGGCTACCTTTCCATCCTGCAGCATATTTAGAGAAGAACAGAAACATATCAATGCTTTTCTTTTAAAGTATATATATATATATATATATATATATATGCAACATGCAAATAGCAAATAGCATATAACACAACATTTAAATGTGTTATGAGTAAATGGCATATTACAATTATCAGTCTATAGAGGGTGGTAACAAGTGATACATTGGTTGTTAAATATATATTTTAAAGCTTAACATGTTGTGACCCCATGTCTATTATTACTTTTTGAGGGAGATCAATTAATAGATTACATATAGTATAACAGTAAAATACTCTTTTTTATCTGTTCGATTTTACCACTGCTGCCATTAAACGGTAAACCCTAAGCAAACATGCTCAGACTGAGTTTACCTTGAATTTATGCTGGCAGTAGGTGATCAAATGTTCCAGGTACCAGTGGCAGTTGGACTCTTGAACACCCAGCAGGGCCAGAGCCTCCAGCCTGAGTGCAGCCAACAGAGCAGCTTCCTCCTGGGTTGACAGAGCTCTGTTCACCTGCTTTACTGCATCCTGAACTGTGCACAAACATCCAAAAATCAATCACTTGGGAATATTTTACAGACCATTTTTCCAATGTGTTTTTAAGTGGTTAGCTCAGATTTTATATTTGTTGGATGTTCTTACCATTGACAAAATGGATACAGCCCTGGATCTCCTGCTGTGTGAGCAGCTCCTCATAAACATCTCTTTCTTCAGAGGCAATAGAAGTTCTCTAGCAGTGACAAAAACAATGTTTTAGAAAAGAATAGATGCTTTATTTTTATAGTAAATTTTGATACAAGCAAGAAAAACAGTCCACTGCAAAGGATTGAACTGTATCACCTGTTGTAACTACTTATTTCAGACATAGGTGATGTTCATTATTAATAGAATAACATCCTATTTAGTCATTCCCCCCTTGTATACAAATATATATAAAAGGCTGTGTATTTTACATTGCATTTTTCAGTATGTTTCAACCACTGAGTGCAAAAGGGCGGCTCCTGTTTTTACAGCATTGTTAAAGAGAATGGGAGGCAGGTTGCCATATGATGAGGGAGAGGAGGAAGAGTTTGGTGTAGTACAGCTGACAATGCAGCCTCTGGAATGTGCTGTCAGTGCAGGCAGCCCACTTCACACCACTGCAGACCTCTTTGGGTTTTTTTTAAACTTTAATTAAAACTAGAAAATATAAGTAAATATGTATTATATATATTTTAAAAAGTGTATATTTGTTACATTTTCTTGTACATTGATTGGATGTTTTGTTCTATTTTACATGTAATCCAATCTAAACAAATGCTACTCATTTAGAGTCTCAAACTAATTTTATAATACATTTTAGTTCATCAATAAGTAAAGTGGACCTACATTTAATGTACTGAAAGCTGTGTCATTCTTCTCCTTTAAAAGAACAATTAGGCAAAAAAGAACTGACACAGTAAGTAATGGCAGTCAAAGCACACAAGTCACATGGACAAGTACTGTAAACCATAAAGAGGTCACCTAAGACTGTGTAAGGAATCTCACCTTTCCTAAGGACTGGCTCTGCTTATTGGTCTTAGCCTGGCTCAGTCTGTACTGGTAGTCTTGGGCAAGAGGCTCCTGGATGTTCCTCAACATTGCGTTTGGATTATTTAGGGCTCCAAAGGTCACAGATGCCTGACCTCTGTCCACAGCCTCATTGATGGCAATCACAGCAGCGTGTACTAAAGGCAACAGAGAATATGGAAACATTTTGCAGCTGGCCATAATGACATTGGGTAAAATAAAAAAAGGGAGGCAACTATGCCAAAAACATAAATCAAATCAGACAATTCCATTCAAAGAGGTAAAAGGACTTACGAGCAGCCTCGTCTACTGAGAGCTCATTGGCCAGGATTCCTCCAATCTTACTGAAGGCCGGCATCTGTATGCCATACTTCTCCAGCTCACTCCTCATGTTACTGATCTCTTCCTCTGGAACACAATTATTTTTTAAATGATTCAAAATTATTATATGTGAAAGTTACTGTGGGCAACAAAACTAACTCAAATTCTTTTTTTTCTTTTTTTTTTATTTCATTTGCCTCAATTCAAGCATCAAGAATGCTCAGAATATTTTTACTTTCATTTTTAGATGTTCCCCAGCCTTGAATAGTCTGGTATGAGGAATTATTATTATCCCCGATTCTGGGGAAAGTCTCTGTAACCTTTAGATCACAACATAAACCAAAAGTTGTTTAAAATAATGCAATTTTAAGTTTATATACAGTATCAGAACAGAAAGAAATATTTCACAATACATTGTTGTGTTGTGGAGTACAGCGCCACCGAATAGCAGGTGCTTTGTAACCTGTAACTTTGTAAGGAGAGGAGGTTTATCTTCAATGTGTCTACAATGACTTCTGTGCTCGGTTTGACATGAGCATCTCATCTATTCTGTGGGTAATATTTAGCCTTTGAACTTAAACATTTGGAAAATAGTTTTGAGCCTTAAATTAGTACAAGTTACACAGCTCGAAAGGATTTGGTTTAACTTGACTGGAACTCTCCAGTCAGGTTAAACCAAATCCTTATTCTTATAGAAGCACTGAGTAGGTCTGTGCACTTAATAACCTTTTGATTACGATTTCAATTTTGATCAAATAGTAAACTAAGTTAACTGATGTGACTGGTGACGCTCAGAAAGAGCATGAGAGAGCCATGTTAAACATAGTAACCACACTGATGTATATACTAGAATATTATGTGAATTAATTAATGGTGTTAATTTCAACTTTGCTGTGGCTTGTGTGTCCTTTTTTATGTAAACCCCTTTTCACAGATCCTACCTGTAAAGTCCACTTTCCCCAGAAGGTCCTGTATTTGTGGTGCAATTCCCAGTTTGTACAGATATAGGCTGAAAATTGAATAAAAACAGTGTAAAAACAACAACGTATTACCAAATCATTCATAAGTTTATATGATTCCCTTGTGGTCGCTTTTAAAGGCGCCTCCCTGTGGTACCGCTTCAAAGCCACACGGGGGTGGTGTCACCTCATCTTACGGACTATCAGAACGCTCTGAGGACTTTAACTGAGCCAACAAATGTGACTACGGGCGTACGGAAACCTCATTAAACTTTCACGCTGCTGCTCGTACCTCATCAGTTCTATTGAATTATTGATAAAAGAGGTAGAAGGGGCTTCACTAAAATGATAGTAAAAAAGCTGTGAAGTCCCCAAAGTTCTGCCCTTTGTTCACGTATCTGTGTGTAAACATGAGCTGCACTCTGTACTTGAGACACACAGGGACTTTGAATAAATATCTAAACTGCTTATGCAAAGGGTAATGTTTTAACTATTAGGCATCTGACTGAGTCTGTGATAAAAACAGAATAACAGCTGACCGAAGTTAATGAAAGTCACTGATTATAAGACAGAGGGTAACAGACCACCAGCTGCTGAGCTGGGAGCAAATACTGCAGCTCTATTCAGGTTTTTGTTCATTATATTTAACTAAACAGCCACTTTGTCCACAAAACTAGCCTATTGATGTTCTTATTTAATTTTCCACCCTGGGTCTTGTAAGGCGTGCTGGACTCAAAGGAAGGAAGAGCACGTGTGTGCATACGAGGGGAAGGAAGTCAATTCTCTCAGGGACCTGACCAAAAACACTACAAACAGAAAACAATCCAAACAGCTCACATTACCACTCCCTAAATCTGTGTTTGGTCGATCGGCAGGGTGAGACTGATAACATACCTTCAAAGTGGTCTCAACTAAAGGAGACAAGAAGCTAAAAATGAAACAAGACACACATGGTAGAGGGAAACTTCTACATGTATGTTCTGTATATTAACTGTGTGACAAGTGAAGCTGAAATTTTGACACAACAATATGATTATTTTCTCCATGATTTGACCACATTGTGTCAAACTCAAGGCCCGAGGGCCAAATGTGGCCCACCTGCCAAACCGTTTTGTGTCGCCCATGGGAGCTTAAGAAGCATTTAGTAAAGTATACCTCAGATACTTTCAGGTGTTGAGCATGAGTTTGAGAACCCTGTCCTAAAGTTTCTTGCCTAAAGCTTCATGACCAATTTACATAAGCATTTCATCTATAAATTTAATTTCTCAACTCAACACGCTGGATATGCTGGATCCTCAGTTCTTACCTCAGTGCGTGTATGCAGTACACCACCTTAGGCATGTTTTTGCGATCATATACATCTGTCGTTTCAGGATAGAATATCTGAAATTAGAAACCATAATAGGCACCAGTCACTTGTCTGTTATCAGGGACCTGATGGTCTTTATACGGTTTTAGCTGCAGCAGCAGAGCTTCTCTCATAATTCACAAGTACTGTACAGTACAATGCAATACCACAAATGAGCTGCCAGAAAAAAAATACAACATAAGTATACACATTAAACAAACTGTTAACTAAATGATTTATTACTTTAAAGCTTATCATTCATTGTACTTTGTTACAGATTTACTGCATTTGGACCTCAAATTTTGGCTTAATTTGGCTTAAAAATCAAAAACATGACATCATCTCCAACCACATACTGTACACATTGATACCAAATCTCAACAATCATGACATCAATTTGGAGCACGAGCTCAGGGGCCTTTAAAGTTGTGCATTTCTTGTATTTAGCACAACTTTCCAGCAGCATGATTTGAAAGACTGGTTCTACAAGGACATGTCATTAACCACAGAACGTAAGGAGAGGAGAAAGGTTTTGGGAGTAAAATAATAATAAATAATGATCAAAACGATCAGAAACTTTCTACAAATTATTTCAAAGCAGAATACATACATAAGTTAATATTAAAACTCAAGAAAGGAAATGTTTTTAAATTTGATTAGCAATGCTTGTGAGTTCCATAATATGCACAGTGTTCCTGTACATTATTATATGTATATATATTTATTGATTAGACAGAAAGCTGTTACCGGACCCTTACCTTTGGAAGGCCCACTGACTCCATAGCTCTGAGCCACTGCACTGTGTTGTCAGTGTGTCTGAAATGTAGACCTGTATTCTGAAAAATAAAAACAAGCACAAATATGATTAGAAACTATATACACATATATTCTATAAAACACATTTACAAGATTTGTGTAACTAAAACCATCAAACTACAATACAGGTACCACAGGTGTCACTTGGGCTTCTTCTCGTAGTAAATGGGGCAATCTGACTCCCATGACTCACTTAGTGGTTAAATACAGCTTCTATACAGTATATAGTTCTGCTCATTATATAAAACTCAATTCAATACTGTTATATTCCCATTAGAAATAAAGCTTCCATGATACAGGATAGGCATGTGAAAAAATATTTCTATGTTGATTATACTGTAGGTCCTTGGAAAGTCAACTTCTGAAAAACAGGTTCCAATAAACCTAAAAACTCTGAGACTGTTTGAAGCAACACAATTCTCAATTAATTTTTAAAATGTATTCATTGTAGGAATTCATATGTGTAAATTAAAAAACAATTGTGGTTTATACAACAAAATTGACCAAATATGTTGTTGCCATAGTATACCGTCCAGTGAGGCATCACCTTTTGACACCTATTACAATGTGTATGTTCCAAAGTGCATTTCTTTGAATTAAATGGGAATTATTTGTCACATAAAGAACTATGGTTGGTTTTTGGTGGACAATTATACTAAATTTTTAGTTTTTACTAGTAAAATTTACATAGATATTTCATTTAGCATCACTTCTAGATATCTCAGTTGTCATTTATAAACTAACTGAAAGTCAGAAACCAGCCCTTAAAGGTAAATGTGAGAAAGTTGGAATTCACCTTATAACGAGCCTGATCTCTGTCATAGATCTTTTTTGTGGAGACCAATTTGGGGGCAAAAAAATTGGCAAGTTTGCCAAGATAGACACCATTCCTCAGTCCCTCTTCTAGTTCTGTGGTAGCAGGCAAACCCTCTTCCAGGCAGGCCTCCATCCAACTGAAACACACAGGAAAATCCTGAGGTGAATTCACTGACACACAAAAACTATTTATAAAGTAACAATGAGGAGTTTAAGTTTTTCAGTTCAACAGAGCAATGAAAAGTGTTTGTTTTCACAGAATTTGACAGTGTTGCCAGCAACACCTACACAGTGCCCAGCATGCTTTAGGATGGGGGATGGGGACAGTGAGCAGTCTGACCAAAGAAAAAGATAACATTAAAGTTACTTCTAAATTTATTTAGTTAATGAACTATTCACTCCTATACAGAGGTACCAAATACAAAATCTAAACACTTGTAAGAGAAAAAAAATGTTGATGTCATTTCCTAATTAAAGTTTGAACTCTTTAAGGCTTTTAGAGTGGTTACCTCACTACAAATTCCTCCTAAAAATATGAGCAAATATATTTCTCAGAACTAGGCGTGAACAAATGGTGAGCTCAACGAATCATCATCATCTAAAAACCTGTTAAATTATTACTACAGCCACTATTCAGTGATGATGACTTTAAATTTAAAAAAAAGGGACATTTCTCTCACTCCTCCCCACAAACTCACCCACAATTCCTGACTTCATTCAGACAAAGCCAATAAAGCTGCCCACATGCAGGTTCAAGGACATCTTGTTTAGATTAATTATAAAACCATGAGGGTGTTCAACAGGTTCTAAGGCAAACACCAATGTCAGCACGTTAAGGGAAAGTACAAACATGTTCGAGCCTTAATAACGTATTTCACCTATTTGTAATTTACATTTCCCAAGTGCTGTAAAAACGTACAGAAACAATAATAACTAATGGTACCTTTACATCGTACACATTTTGGCACAGGATGTTTGTTTGCCCATTCTTCTTAGCCCAGTGTTCCAGACGTCTTTAATAAGATTGTCCTCTAGTGGGGACACTGGCCTGAAGTTATTGAACCTAATCATATGTGGTGCAGGCTGGGTTTTCTTGGAAATTGGATTACCAAGTTTCTACAATGCTTTGAGTTTTTGTTATCAGGACAAAAAGGAAGACCAAGTTCATAGTAAGGACATGTGGGATTTTAGGTTTTATGCCTTTCCCTTCTGTCCCAAACAAAAGGCAACATGTGTTTGGCATAAGAGCAGTAGCTGTGTCTGAACAGACCAAACAATATGCTTCCAGTGAGTGTCATCTATTTGCAGGATGTCTTTACTGTAGCATCACAGGTCTGGTCTAGCTGTGTCTCTCAGGCACAAGTAAAGATTTTCTTGGTCTTTCTTGGTCACCTTCAAATTATTTGGAAGTCTCGAGTAAGACAGACATATCGACTTTTCTGGAGCTGTCAGCCCAATATTGGCCCAAACTCTGGGACAGGCTTATTGGTGGGACTGAACAGCTTCCAACCAATCCGATAAATTCTGAATGTCTTCAGTGACATAGATATTGTCACATATTGTGGATGAAATGTATTACAATATATTGATTATTGCATAATCACTGTATTGTGATATTATCGTTATCATGGGCAAAATATAGTAAAAGTATTGTATTGCAAGGTTCCTGGTGACACCCACCCCTCTACATTATATTTGTTGAAGTTTATTTATCTATTTGTTATGGTCTATTTTGTAAGTTTTATTGTGTCAATAAGATCTACTCTACATGAAGGTTGGGGCATCTTACACTGTATAATTTCCTTATTTATTTTCATACATTATTTTAACATTATACAAATGTTATTTCAATGTAATGTTTATTTAAATTCTATTAATACTGGTTAAGATGTGTTGCTTTATCTTGAAGCACTTTAAAATACAAGAAATGTATGTATTGAAGATGATTCATTCATTTAGGGAAAATTGTTAGATGATTCCCATGATTGAGTATTTAAGGTATTTTGGGGCCTGGTATCAAGTGGATGCTATTGTTGCACCAATAGAATGACACATCTGCTAACCTTAAACAAACACACACAGTGGCCTGCCAGGGAAAACCCATTTGGCAGAGAAGCAAAACAAAGCGGATATAGACACAAACATGGCTCCTTCTCTGTGCCACATACACACCACACTCAAAGGCCAAGGACGTGATGCAGGTCAAACTTCTGATAACTTGGGAAACATTTAAAGTTTCAAATAAAATAGAAAAACATAAAGTGATTATTTTAAATAAGATGATTACAAAGGTAAAGACAGTTGCTGGGAATACTATACTATGGGACATCCTGCATGGGCAACCCAGACCCTTGTGTGAAATTCCACTCCTCCACAATGTCTCCTGGAGCACAACAGACTAGTACTGCTGTTTACAACAATCTGAAGCAGGTCTTCCTGTCATTGTCCAACCAAACACGGATGGTGGATTGCAACACTCCAAAGTTTGTCATAACTCCACACTTTATCAGTAAATGACACATTTTTTTAACCACAATATTTTTGTTCATATAAAGCCCTTTCTTGCTTCATTTGGTTTATTTATGTTTTGAGGTTTTGAGGGATTTTTTTGTAGGGAAGCATTTGTTCAATAGTTTAGATATTAGTCACTATTCACTGCTCTAGATAAAAAAGCACAGGGCCTGTATCAGAGCCAGAAAGATTACCATCTGAGCTTTGAATGCAAACTGGTGACTATTTACTCTCCACTGAAGGTACAAAGTCTGCCAACTCGCTGTGTGTGTGTGTGTTAAACACAAACTTCAAAGCAGTGGGGACATCAAATAATGCAAAATAAAAAAAATTGCAGAGCAAACAACAATGGAGGAAAATGGAATTTCGGGGGGGAAAAAAGTAAATTCAAATCATATAAAGATGTCCCCGCAACGGGGATGATCAAGAAAGAAGAAGCAAGGTTAAGATAAGAGTTAACAGCTAGCTGCTAACTAAAACAGAGCCTTTAAGAAAACTGACAATAATGAGTAATAATTATATAAATAAAACTCGAGTCTACATCTACAAATTAAATGTAAGTGTTAAGATACCAAAACACAAACGGTGAATTAACTTTTGTTTCTAAATCTCTGGTGTTATGCATTTTATAAATAACCATAAAACTGTAACCCAGGTGCACTACAGAGTTGTTTTCTCATGGTTTCTTTGTTGTAGTAAGTGCTGACCACTCAACCCAGATAACACAACCAGATCCCATGCTCTCTGTGACTCACTCAATCATCAGACCCTTGTCATGACCTAATTTGACACCATTTCATAAATAGAGGAACCATTGAACAATTTCATTGTTGCGAGGTTAAATACAGTAGCAGAGGTGTGTGCCTCATAAATGGTGATATTAAAGAATAAACACAAGAACACTACTGTGGAGGTAACATACAATAAGCATTTACAATCACTTGACCAGGAAAACTGTAGGTGTGGTCAGAATATGGTGAGTTATTGAATATATACTTAGTTTCGTTGTCCTGCTGTGGTGGCCCTTATTATCATGTAACAAAAGCAGACATTGTCAGCCACTCCACTAGCACTTTGGCAGAGTTTTACAGAGTCAAAGTGCAAGGTCAGTTGTCAAACAATAATCTTTTAGGATAAATGCATGTCAAATGGACACCACAAGAAGAAAAACTGTCAAAATATGTCTCATTGGTAAAACATACACTATTTTTTTTTTTAAGTGATGAGGGGTATATTACCAAAGGATATTTAAAGTGTGATGCACATCTCCCCAGCATGGCGCCAAAAATTGATAAATTAAATTCTTAAAACCTATTTTTTCCTGAAGTGGTGTTGGACATCTTTTTTTTTGTCATTGTTTTAATTAATGAATAAAATTATTAGTCCCTTCCTTGAACCGCAACCTTAACATGGTGGAGGGGTTTGAGTATCCGAATGAACCTAGGAGCTATGTTGTCGGGGGCTTAATGCCCCAGGTAGGGTCTCCCAAGGCAAACAGGTCCTAGGCGACGGATCAGACAAATAGCGGTTATAAAAAAAATAAAATAAATCAAAGAGGTTCACGTCGCCTGGGTTGATGTCACCGGGGCCCCACCCTGGAGCCAGGCCCGGGGTTGGGGCTCGCAGGCGAGTGCCTGGTGGCCAGGTCCTTGCTCACGGCACCCGGCCGGGCTCAGCCCGAACAAGCGTTGTGAGCCCGCTTTTCAGTCGGCCCCC